CATCCACGCCGTGAACGCCTCGTTCCCCACGCGCGGGGCACCGAACGTGTACAGTTCGAACTGCGGCCCCGCACCGATGGCGTACGCCTGCGCCGCGAAGTCCGCCGCCGCGAGGACCGCCATGGCGCCGCCAAGACTGTGGCCGGTGATGAGGACTGGGCGGCGGGGGTATTCGGCAACCAGCCGCTGCAGCTCCTCCCACATCTCATTACGTAGTGATAAGAAGGAATGGTAAAACCCACGATGTACACTGCAACCCTCACATGTGGCATTCGGATATGTTATTTGCTTAAAATCCAAATCAGATATCCAGTTGGGTATATTCTGGGAGCCACGGAAACTTATCACAATGCGGTCTTCGTTGACACCCATGTACGCCAATGCGCCTTCCGTCGCATTTTCAAACACCTTCTTCACTTGGAACGAAGGATGCATAGCGCAGGAATCACAGCTCCAGTTGCCAATAGATGGAACATCGCAGGACGAGGCCTTTGAGAAGTACAGCGCAGACATCGCCAGCGTCTCTGAGTACGCGGCCTGAACCCCACAACTGCAAAGCAGAAGTAAAAGGAACAAGAATGCTGATGGGGACAAGCGACAGTGAGAGACAGAGAACATGTTGTTACTGTGGTTTTTTTGAAATATGTTAATGCTTTGAAAGAGACGAGTAAAAGTAAAGGTTCAGAAAGACATGAAGGATCCGGAGGAGTGAAAACTTCGTTAAATAATGTATTAGTGACTCTATTCCCAGTGAACAAACAAACCCGGTACTTCCTTTTTTTCTTCTTCCAAGGTATATATTATGAATTTCCCCAAATTGTATAATACCATAGTGTGAACAAACGGATTATTATTACATAGTGTTAACTTATTGAACCCAACCCATTGAAAAGTAATACACTTATGACACAAAAAAAAAGAATCCCTTTGAGAGAGATAGTGTATTATATTATATTATAAGACCGAATAATCTAAACCTTGTTTTCCCCACTTAAAAATAAATAGAAGAAATAAAGACCAATATAATAATTTTTTGTCATGAACCCCAACTGTTCCCTACAAATCATATACACATCCCGATATCTTCCGTCTACAGTTCTTCTCTGATTAAATAACAGAACTGACGAAAAT